GAGTGAAAATCTTGATTGTTATCTGCCTTTCCTTCTCCTTTCCTCTCGTAGATCTTCCTTCTTTTCCCTTTTCTTTGGTCCCCGTTTCTCTTCCATCTTTTCTTCCCTTTATTTTTTCTGCACTCTTTCTCCCCATTCGTCCTTTCCCTTCTTTCCTTTTAACTTTTCATCTTGTTGTTTTCTTGTAGATCTAGTAATATTTCACCTTTGTCTACTCAGATTCCTTCCCAAACAGTTTTCCCTTTTATCTCCTTTTGGCTTCTAGAAGTTTCTTTTAAGTTTGATTGGAAGACATGGGGATGAAGAGGAAGAAACGAAAAAAATTTTCAACTCTATGTATGTATTGAGTTAATAAGTGCTCAAACCATGGTATGGTATTGTGGAGGTAGCATTAGCTTGTTTCAATAGTTAAGTTTTTGATTTAGAATTTAGATTTACTAATTAAAGATAATTAGTAATGTTAATTTTGTTGTTTGTTTATAATTGTTCCTTGGCAGAAACAATTGAAGTACCCTATGATGAACTTGTTGGGGTGATTGTTTCTATGATGGTAGTATGGATGACAATTGCTTTTTCTTTTTTTCTTTTTTCTCTTTTTTCTTTCCCTCTAGCTTACTAAGTACTAACTAGTGGAAATTTGATGCAATGTATTTAAAATATAAAAAAAAAAAAGAAGGAAAAGCTTTCTATCATTGGATCTTTTTAGCTTTTTTAAATTTAACGGATTTGTTATCATTGCTTGAGTGATTATCATCATTTTAACGTCTTTAACTTAAACCATTCAAAAGATCTTTGTTTAGGTTATAATGGGGTTTAGATTAATAGTTGAAGAAAGAAAGGATTGTTATTAGTTCAAAAGGTTTTCTCAAATATTATCTCTAATTGCATTAATTTTTCTTATAATTATTTTAAACTTTGATATTTCATTTATAAAAATATATATTTATAGTAATAAATTTAAAACGGTACATGAAAAATTTTGGTATTTGATACGTATCGTTTTAATAGTAAAATTTCAAATTGCTAATATATTTTCCTTCTTTCTAATTTCAAAATTTAAAAGCAAAAAGATATCAGGGGAACTTACAACTCTCCCTGCATTTCCATGGCTTTTTCCCATTGACCTCCTGGGGGACCTTCACTGTTCTCTCTCAGAAAAACTTTTCAATCTCCGATCTGGTATCGCTGTCCGCTCATTTGATTCGTTTCTTGTTAATTTGTTCGAGTTTTTTCGTTTGGAAATGTGTGTTTCTTTGTTTTGATTTGTTGTTTCTTCTTTGCCGTTTTTGATAGAATGTATTTTGTATATGTCCCATTTCTTATTCATAGCCTCGGCTCAGTATACCATTGTATGTATATATATTTATCAATGAAAAGAAAAAGAAAAAGAATTCAGTGTGTGGGGGTATATTTCATTATAGTATCAGAGCTTTACTTAGGGCAATGGAATTGCCTTTTCTTAGAGTCACTTTTAGGGTTCTTTTTCTTCTCTTCTACTGTCGTGATTCTCTACCCTTTAGCTATGACTTCCTCCTTTACTGATAGTTCTCAAACTTCTCTGGTTTTAACCTCTCAAACCTCTCCTCCACATATCTCAGCCTCAACACCAGTCCTCCCTATCACCACCATGGGCGCTACTACACCTATTTCTTCTATATATTCTCATCCAGTTTTTGCTGTTTCCAACATTAAAGATTTTGTTTCTGAAGTTCTTGATCATCACAATTACATTTTGTGGAAGGAGT